TGGTTGGGTCCTTCGCCAGGCTAATTTGTTGTTTTTGGGGCCGCGCGACGCGTAGCTCCCCCATGAATGCATCAGAAGGGACAACGTTCCCTCTCGAATGACTTCTTAGTCTTGGATGACCGTGGTGAAACTACAATGTGTTACAACTGCGTTGGGTACGTCCTCAGGTAGTCCATCAGTCGTCGTTTCATTCCATCTTGGCGAGGCGTTTGCCGTCGGTTCCTTTTGCCGCTTGTGTATTTCCTTTCATTAACCTCGTTTCTCTTTTTCTCCCCTCCCCTCCCCCGCTCTTCCATCATCCATCCTTCGGCATTGAGGATGGATGGGGTACGGGTGAGAGGGTCGCCAACGCGCCCCTCTTACATCGCCTGGCCCGTGAATCGATTTAGGATTTTAATGTCTACATATCATTTGCGCTCTTGTCTTACGTACACTCTGCCGTTACACCTTCAGTTTTCCATCCGCGTTCTCCTTCACTTCCGTTATCTATCCTCCTCTCCCTTCTCTTTCCCTCCACCGCTTTGTCCTCAAGCATGGGGGAGAGGTGGGATAGGGGAACTAGGGGAGAGAAGGATGGAGGTAAAATGGATGAGCAGGGAGTGAGGAAGACAAGACTGAGAAATGCATGATGGACGGAGAGCACTCAGAGCCAGATGCGGGCAGCACCGGAGAAGGGAGATGGATGCAAAGAGGATTATGGGAAGAGCAAGGGGGGATTGTGAAACTGGACACGACGCCACGACGCACAGATATAACGGGAGTTTAGGTTCATCCATCTCGTCATCATCGCCATCACCCATCCAGCTGTTTTCGGTAAAGCCCACTACTGTGCCAGCGCAGCATCTGAGATGCATGCAATCGTTTTGCCGATCTCTCCCGAACATACTCGGCAGAACTAATTGGAGCCGCTTGTCAGGCGATCGCAAACATGGATGAAGGGGGCGTGGATTAGCGACGGGTCCCGTTGCCATGGGGAATTGCAGATTTCCGCCGCGGGACGAGGCGGCACAGGCAGCATTTTGGGGTGGGCACCTCCCCGGATCCATGGATTAGGCGACCGCGCGCCAAATCCATGGATCGCTAATCTCTTGCGGGATCAGTTGGAACTTCTTCGGGCCTTCCCAGGTGACTCTCGGGTGCCGTTGCGGCGCGGCTCGTCCACGCCCCTCCTGCCTCGTCCTCCTGCCTTGTCCTCCTCCTCGTCCTCCTTCTCCTCCTCCTCCTCCTCCTCCTCCTCCTCCTCCTCCTCATGCTGCTCCTCCTGCTCCTCCCCCTCGTCCTCCTCGTCGTCCTCCTCCTCCTCCTCCTCTTCCTCCTCCTCTCTCCTGCTCCTCCTCCCCCCTCCTCCTCCTCCTCCTCCTCCTCCTCCTCCTCCTCCTCCTCCTCCTCCTCCTCCTCCTCCTCCTCACACAGCGAATCAGCATAATTGCTGCGCCCGCATAATCCTGAATCGTTTCCAAACACCATTTTTGCTGCGATGATCAACTCTGGCAAATGTTAAAAAATGTGCGCGGCGCTAAGGCGAGAGCCACATTTTGAAAATGGACCGCCCTCAAGCCGTGAAGCTCTTTCAATTGTGAAAAACGAATGCGCGCGGCGCTAAGGCGAGAGCCACATGTTGAAAAGGGACCGCCCTCGATCCGTGAAACTCTTGTAACTTTTTATGACGAGTGCACGCGGCGTTAAGGCGAGAGCCACACTTTGAAAACGACCCGCCCTCAATCCGCGAAGCTCTTGCAAATGTTTAAGACGAATGCGCTCGGCGCTAAGGCGAGAGCCACATATCGAAAACCACCCGCCCTCCATCATTGACGCTGTTGTCACTTTTCAAGCTTCAGAGTCATTAGTGGTGAGGAAGTCTCAGGCGAAACGCCCGGCCGGCCCTAAAAACTGGCCTCGGGGTGCGACGGGAAGGAGTTATTCATAAGGAGAAGGGATGGACGAGGAGGAGGAGGAGGAGGAGGAGGAGGAGGAGGACCAGACCTGGCCTGGTCGTCGCTCTTTCCGCAGCCGCTTTGGCGCAAAGCCCTCCCTCAAGGCGCGGGCCACGCGAGGCGCACCTGCCACCGCGCAGAGCAGCGCCACCACCCGCGGCCGCGGCTTTTTGCCCGGATGGTGGCAGTGAGGCCGGCATCGTTCAGGACGGTGTTGTTGGCGGGGATCGCGGCATGCGCGCTTAGCTCAGAGGAGGAAAAAACGTCATAAACATAAATGTCTGACGCTCCGCGCTGATTTCTTGGATCCTCGCTGGGCCCCCTTGGCTGGCGGCGCCTCCGGCGCCGCCCCTGGCGCGCTCCGCGCGCCAGGCAGGCGGGCCCAGCAACGCGGATCCAAAAAATCCGCGCGGAGCGCCAAAAGTTTTTGTTTACGGCGTTGTCTCTTCTTCCGTTGGCCGTCGGGTCCCAGCCGACCCAGGACTTTTGCCTGCAAGCAACTCTCGCGACGCCTACCGGAGCGACCCATCGAAGTTCGCCACCGTCTGGGAAGACCTCGCTGGCCTGGGCACGGCGGGCTCGTTCGAGTTTTGCTATGGCAACAGATCGTCGCACCCAGGGATGCCAATGGACGTGATGCCCTACAGCATTTGGGAGAACGGTGAGAAAATAATTCCTGGCAGTCTTCCGCATCCGATTGACTACCTGGCGGATCTTGCTTACCCCTTCGACTTTGAAAATCTCTTCTACGCCAACCCAGCGCTCCTCCTGACCAGGCAGATGTGGTGGCTGAGTTACGCAGCAGCTGCAATCTACTTGATCCTAGTGGGGGCGGGCCAATATTGGATGAAGACCAGGTCAGCGTTCGACCTGAAGGGCCCTCTTGCTGCCTGGAACCTCTTCCTGGCTGCGTTCTCCGCTTGGGGCGCGCTGCGAATGGTGCCACAACTCCTCTTGATGCTGCAGCAACACGGCCTCGAGTTCGCGGTGTGCCGCCAGGCCGTCTACACCGTTGGGCACGGAGCCGCTGGGCTCTGGATGACACTCTTCGTCTGGTCGAAGTATTTCGAGCTCATTGATACCGCCTTCTTGGTCTTGCGGAAGAAAGGGGTCGGCTTCCTTCACTGGTACCACCACTGTTCCGTGCTGATGTACACTTGGCACGCGTACGCTTGGGAGACTCCCACGGGCATCTTCTTCGCGGCGATGAACTATACCGTGCATGCTGTGATGTACTCTTATGCTGGAGGCTTGCGCCAGTCTGCCGACATCGCGCTGGGCGTTTTATTGTGATGATTCCGGGCTTCCGGGTTCGGGCTCCCATGAATGGGGGAAGGAGTAAGAGGATGAGGCTGAAAGATGAGCAGGACCAGGATGGAAAGCAGCAATATGACCACGATGGAAAGAGCGTTTTCTGCGGCCGCTTGGAGGGGGGGGTCGAATGCCCCCCCCTCAACCACCCCCCCTGGATGCAAGGGATGGGAGGGGAGACGAACCTCTCCTCTTAAAGAACCCCCCTCCCATCCAGGGGAGGTTCGAACCCCCCTCCAATTCTCGCCGCCCGCAAACTACCACGACGACCGACGACCACAACGACAACGACGACGGCGGCGGCGGCGGCGACGGCGACGGCGACAGCGACGGCGACCAACGATTGCGACGGCGAAGGCGACGACAACGCTCCGCCCATACCCCTGACATGCAGCGGGTAAGCGACGACGGCGGTGGCCTGCAAACGACGACGTCGACGACGGTGACGACGACTGCAACAGACGACGGGCTCTCGCGTGCCAACTGGACTATGCACCATCTTTCAAAGTCCCGCCCCCCGACCCGACCCGCCCGGTAGGGTCCGCCCGTCCGACCCGACCCACCTGTTTGGGCTTTGGCGTGCCAAGTCGTTGATGGGCCATACTTTAATGTCCTACCCGCCAGACCCGATCCGCCACATAGGGCTGGCCTGCCCGCCCACCCGCGTCGTCGTTGTCGTGTTCAGTCGGTCGTCGTCGGTCATCGTCGGTTGTCGTCAGTCGTCTTCGTCCTCATCGTCCGTCGTCGTCGTCGTCGTCGTGGTCGTCGTGGTCGTCGTGGTCGTCGTGGTCGTCGTGGTCGTCGGCATCGTCGCCGTCGCCGTCGCCATCGCCGTCGCCGTCGCCGTCGCCGTCGCCGTCGCCGTCGCCGTCGCCGTCGCCGTCGTCGTCGTCGTCTTCGTCGTCGCCGTTGTCGTCGTGGTCGTGGTCGAGGTAGTGATCATCGTCATCGTCGTCGTCGTCGTTGTCGTTCTTCGTCGGTCGTCGTTTGCTGGCGCCCGCCGTTGTCGTCTGCCGGCGGCGAGTAAGGGGGGGTGACTGGGGGGACCCCCCGTTGAACTAAGCGGGGGGAAGGGGGGTTCGAACCTCCTCACCCCTTTGAATCAGCGAGGGGGCCTTAGGGGAGGGGGGGACTGGTGGAGGGGATTGGATTTCCCTGGGGCTCCGACATGTCGTTGAATGTTCCGACGGCAAGCGCTTGTGAAGCACGTTCCCTTCCATGATGGGATGCATGGGAGGAAGGAGATCCGCCGGTGGTGTTGGGGCAACGTTGGGGGCATCCTGGGTCATTTCAGTTTAGTGGATCAATATGGGGATATCTGTGGTTGGCGGTTTCGGGGCAATTCTTGCAATATGTGAGGCCTCCCACCTCGGAGTCGTCTTGGGACCTTCCTGGGGCTGGCATGGAGCCTCTGGGGTGCGCGTTGGTGACCCCTGGGGCCGTGCCGGAGACTCGATCGGGCCTCTTGCACCCTGGAGGCCTCTGCAGTTCTGCCCAGCCTGGTTCTCTGTGGGGTCGTAAGGTAGGACATGTCTTCAAAGCGTGCCCAAGCCGGAAGTGTTTTTTGCTCCTTAACCCGCTTGCTCCCTTGGGCCCAGGTTGCCCGAGGGGGGGACTCTGACTCTGACTCTGACTCTCTGAGGCTCATGGTCAGCCTACCCCACAGATATAATGGCAATCAAGCACTATGCAAGAGAGACACAATACATCAACAAAAAAGAAGGTGGGTCCCCTATCCCACCGCGCCACACCTATTCACAGAAGAGAAGAGGCCTCCTGCTGGAAGCGAGCGCCGAACAGCACGTCGGAAGCGTGCTTGTTCCCGCCGAGCCTGGATCTGGCGTCTGAGCTCGTTGCTGAGCTCTACACGGGCGGGGGGGGGGGGAGGAGGAGGAGGAGGAGGAGGGGGTTGGGGATCCCACGGGACACCAGCCGCCTCACGAGACTGGAGCATGCCTTCCTCCGCCCACGGATCCTCTTCCTCCACAGGCCAGGGTCCAGGCTCCACAGGAGCCTGCAGAGGTCCCGCCAGTGGGGGAGGGGCAACACCCTCCAGGGGGCGGTCGAAACGGGTGTCCCGGGGCCCCTTCAATCTGAAACCAGCAAAATCAAGAGCTATATCAGCCTGTCCCTCCGCGGTGTCTGCAGCATATAAATCAAGGGCCTGAAAGAAGGCACTCAGCTCGTCAGGTAATTCACTCGAATCTAGATCATCGGGATCACATAAATTGAAAGCCTCTTCCACATATTGGGCGACAGCCCTGGCCATGGCAGCACATAGGTCCTGAGGGTACCTTTTCTTGGGAGCCGTACGCCATTTTCCTGTGGTCGGGTCAATGCCGAGGTGGGTGGTGTGGGTCTTCTTCGGATGTGGGCACCTTCCCCCTTTTCCTTGACTCAAAATGTCCTCCACGAGGGAACTCAACCGAATACACAGAAACGTCGTAGGGGCCTTGCTCACTTGGCCGAAAACACATTGGTCAAATGAGACCGTCCGAGAGGGGGGAGCAGCACTCAGAGCACACGCCGTGGCAGACTGCCACGAACTGGGTGCCCTTTCTTCCCAGTGAGCAACCTCAGGGTGCTCTTTCAGTGCACAAGCTCCTACCTCCAGGCAAGTCAGCATCAACTGGTGCTGGCTGAGCAAGAGCTGAGAGCCGATGGAGAGCTGTTGGTGCTGACGGAGACTGACATCAGGTCTACCCCAACGATGTTTGAGAGTACGGAGGGGAGCAGGTGGACGATAACGGTCTGCAGCTCTGAGCTCCTGCCACCTCGCTGCTGACCATGTCTCGCAGGGAGGACCGCCAATCAAACCTATGGCCCGACCTGTTCTCAAAAGCTGATCCCATTTTGAAACAATGTCGGCCCTGGTCAAGTCCCCATTCACAGCGTAACAGGCCACATCACACGAAATAGTGATGATAGTCACCGGGCCCGAAACCAAAACTCTCTCAAGCTCGTCCTGAACATCTCCAGCACGTCTAGCTCCTGAGAACAGGTGAAGAAAAGCAAGTACAGCATACTGCAGCGGCCGAGGACAATGCTCGGCAGAAGGGCCAGCATACGCAAGCGGTTCAAACTGATGTTCATCTTCTGGCAGGGCCTCATATCGGGGGTCCATTTCACGAGTCTCGAAGAGGGGCTCAGGAACATCTTCAAACTGGTAGGCCATGGAGCGGATAACTTCCCAGGCATCCCGATACGGTAAAAACGAAAGCTGCGGAACATTACGAGGCCCAGGAACACGATAAGCAGGAAGCCAGGCCCCGCTTCTCATAGCCCCTTTTTTCCGAGCAGCTTTCCTGTCAGAGGCCTCCTGGGCCCGAACCTTCTCCAGAACCTCAGGAGCCTCAGGGACCATATTGGAGAGGACCGTGATGTAGCAATTCGGGTTCCCATACGCAAGGTGGTCAATACAAAGCTCAACCGTGCTGAACCGAACAAGACAGACATAACAAGTAGGGCTGTGAACATATCTGGCAGCGACCGAGCGCTGCTGGTAATGAAGCCGAGCAATATGCATCTTCACCGCAGCACACTTGGCCGACTCGAACTCACAGAAAGGGCAGCGATGCACAGCAGGCACAGGTGCCGGCGTCAGAGATAGATCTGGTGGCACACCAATACGCGCAGCATGCTGAAAAAATATCTGCGTGCGAGCTCGAGCGTCCTCAATACGGCAAGCCCAACGGATGTGTGCCTCCACCCCAGATCGAACCAGGTTAGCCCAGTGCTGTCCACGCCCAAGAATCTCCTTCTCCCAAGCTCCGAACTCCGAGACTAGGAAATTCACGCAGCCTGGAAACCCGAGTACGTAGCCACCTCAAATCATCCAAGACAAGGTTGAACCAGGAGTGCTTGGGTTCCGCAGTGGCCCTAATAAGCCCAAAGAGAGCCCTAGGAGCATACTTATAGAGCCGACTGAGATAACGGAGACGATGCCATCTTAGCAGAATATCCACATCACATCTCATTACAGTAGCAAGCACGTCCGTATCGGGAACAGCCTCCTGATCATATGCTTGCCTCCCAATAGCAGACCGATAAATCCGCACGATACCAGCACGGTACCGATTGAACTGTGCCGTCGTCGGCTGTGGCCATGTTGCAGCATTGTACAGCCGGCCCGACATGATCAGCACATCTGCAAGCTGTAACTTATGCTGCCGAGACAACTGCTGGTTGCGAAAGACCACCTGCCGAAGGGCCTGAAGCGACGACGTCGTAGACGACACGCGGTAGGCCAGCTCCGGGGCCAGGTCCTGCTTGTCAGAAATCATCCCTCCCAGATGCTTGTACGTGTGTACCGCTTCCAGAGTAAGCCCCTTGGGAAACGTTCCAGTAGGCGGGATAGAAACCTTACCCTCCTCCTCGATCCAGAACTGCTTTCGGGCCGTAACAGACCCAGGGCCTCTGAAGGTGACCATGAGGGCGCTCTTAGTGGGCCCCACGTTAAGCTTGAGGCCCAGCGGGGTGAAGGAGTCAGCAACAATAGCCATAAGGGCACGAGTGCGAGCAATAATAGCACATGCAGGCCCCCAAGCATTGAACAGGCTGTCGTCGCTGTACTCTACATCGTTAGCTGAAACCTGGGCATCACATTGAGAGAGGGGGTCGAGAGTCCTGGTAGACGGCACGTTAAACTCCTTGTGTAGCCCTTCACTCTGGATCAACTCCTGGGTGCGCCGAATAGTCCTGGACACGATGAAGAGGAAGAGTTGCGCAGCTAGAGTATTGCCTGGCCTGGTGCCAGTGGTGATGATCGCGACAGAGCCTGACCCTTGGGTAGTAGCCCAGGTGCCCGTTAACGTCTCAGAGAGAACACGCTGCAAATGGGCAGGAACCTCCAGCTCCTCAAACAACGGTGGCCGTGCAAGTTCGGCAGCCAGCAGGTCCATGGAAGATGGCGGGAGACCAGAGGCATGCAACAGCTGAGCAATACGCTCATCAGAGATCATATCCTCCCCTCGAATCGAATGAGAATTTCACGAATAGCATGATGGAAAGCGGCCTCCAGGTCCACGAAAAGCGTCGACATCGACTCCGATCGGATACGCGAGTCCTCCTGCATCAATCGAACCATGTGCACCGCGAAGTCCGTGCCACGTCCTCTGGTACCTCCACACTGTGACTCAGGGGCAAAATCATCTAGAAAAGGCTGAAGACGTCCAGCAACAAGGGCATGAGCACGCTTGCCTACCTGCGGACCTATGGCCACAGACCTGCTGGAGACACACTTGTTAGGCGCACCCCGACCCTTGTACAAGTCTGCTAGCCTCGAGCTTTTCCATTGTAGAGGCTCATGTAGACACAACATGTACTTCATCACTAGGGGGAAGTAGAGTCGTGCACATTCCTTGGCACATGTTTTGAGTAGAGCCCCTGGGACACAATCAAGACCGTTGGCACAGGCGCTGGAGGTCTTCAGCATCTGCTGTTCAAACATGGCAAGTGTCGGTAAACTCTGTGCAGCAGACAAGTCCAGCGAAGCAAGCGGCGCACGTGATTCTCCTACGAACTGCAGCAGATCGTGGGCGGGCATCCGAAAGCCAAGCTCCTGTTCAGCAAAGTGTTCCAGCCATCGCTCACGGCAGGCCGCGGGCGTCAGGGCTGGCGTCTCATCCTTCGAGAGTACCTGAGCTGACTGACTAGCGGGCCTCTTCTTCGTAGAACCTATACCCAAGGATCTAAGCTGCCCGAACGCCTTCCTGAACTCCTTCTGAAGAAACGAGCTAGAGACATCCCTAGACACCTGCTCCATCTTGTCGGCCCTGTCCACGTCGCACGACCAACTAATGAGCCGCGAAGTCAGAAAGGTAATGTTGCTAGACATGGCCTTCATCAGCCCACACCAGCGTCTATGCAAGCTCAGCTGCTCCCGAGGACACGGTAAATCACTGTTGACCGAGGGGGGGCGAGCGAGAGAAATACACATTGTCATCAGATATTCCCAGTCAGGTATCCTCGCAAAGCGCTGACCTTCAGGTAGGTGGCACCTGGCAGCACTTTGAAGCACCTGCAGATGTTCATGGTAGTCCTCTAAGAGCCTCCAGAGTTGCTGACGGAATCGTAGACCATTGATCTGGTTGGACCCACTGCGGATCCTAAGACGCCCCCATATCCCCATGTGCCCAAGATGTCCCATAGAAGCCCATGATTGGAATACAACCTGCAGGAGGACCTTTTGGAGCCTTTCGTTGCCAACCACGGTGAAGGGCACGAAGATACTTACGCAACTCTATGAGTTCGAGGGTCCTTTCACTGACCCAGTCCTGCCGGTGGGGGTCCTCGGGGATCAGGTGTTCCTTGGCAAAGGCAACGAGGTGGGCATCCACGCGTGCACAGTGCGCTGTCGCTGATTCGTTCCAGTCAGGCGCTTGAAACTGAGCCGCATGCCGAGCAAATGCCTCTCGGATCGCTGGATCACGGAGACGCTCTGGCTGAACTCGCAGCAGCGGCCACCTGTACTGAGACTGCGCAAGAGAGCCAGACGGAGCACCAACTTCAACAAAGGTAGGGCTGCGGTCCTCCACAGCGTTGGCGAGGTCGACCTCTCGATCCACTCTTGCACACGACACTAGCGAAAACCATTCTTGAGGAAGTAATACATAGTCCAACCTCTTACAGGTCTTACCATCAGTGTGTACATGTGTGTTGTGTGTGTCGTCGATCGGGGCAGGCAGGAAGGTAGAGGGAGCAACCACTTGAAACCTATGGCACAAGCTTCGCATACACTTACCCGAGAAATTCTCCTCCACAGCCTCTACGTCCCCAATCTGTGCCGAGCAGTGGGAGCCAACTTCAGCATTAGCGTCCAACATGAATACAGGCTGCACTCCTGGTACTAGGTACTGGCTCACTAACCTCTGCGTATCAATCCACCACTTCTCAACTGAGCAAACATCCTTGCGAGCACAGTGCGGGGCGTGAGCAGCAACAAGCAATAGATGCAGGCCAGGCACATGAAAACGCAATAGGAGCCGACTCGTATCAGCATAGAGCTGGGCAACGTGATGTCGGCCGGGCTTGATACCTTTCACAGGCAACTCACAGTTGATCCAGATAGCTACTCCATCAGCGCCATTCTCAGCACACTTGGAGTAGTACATCATGTAGTCCCCGACCCTCTTAGGCAAAGCCGTCTGTAATCGCGTCTCCAGGACCCCTAGGAAGTGATATTTAGCAGCAGAAAACTGACGAGCAAGGGCCGTGATTCTCCCAGGGGCATTCAGGCCGATAACCTTCAAGAGACGAGCCCCTTGGGGGGCTCTCCGCTGGGACCCTTTATACTTGCTGTTACCTTGGAGCGTTAAGACGTTAGCCACCCCAAACTTGTATTGCTCTATCTTGTTCGAGGGGGCCTCATCAAGGATGGTCTGGACCCCGATCACCTCCTGGACCTGGAAACCCTCCGAGAGCACCTCACCGACCCGCAAGGTGTTAGTACCTATGATGTTCGGAAGGTCCGCGGAGCGGTCGGAATACATCCAAGCCCAAGCCAGAGCAGAGGAGTCAAAGAGCAGAGATGCAAAGGGCATATACTCCATGCCTGGCAGCAGTCCCATACCTGTGAGACGCGCCAGAGTATCTGCGAGCTCGTTATATCCTTCCCCTTGGTGGCTATGCACATGTTGTCCCTGGATGGTACAGGTAGCAGCCAGAAACTGGACCAGGGACCGAAGAAACATCAAACCAGAGTTGGTGACCTCGAAGGTTTGGGTGCCCATCAAAACTCCGAGCGTGCGCATAGAGTCGAGTCTGAGCACAACTGGTACTGTCCCCAGGTTCGCCTGGGCAATCCATGCCAATGCCCATGCAGCAGCAAGAATCTCAGCAGTGTCAGAGTGGTAGGAAGACGGGAAGAGATCCATCACATCTTCTGGGACCAGATCAGATATATATCCTCGAAGGGCCCTGGAACCATCAAAGTACTCATAGATAATCACCGCAGCCGACGCAGGAACAAACGATATGTCAGATCCATCGGCTCCTCCAGTGCCATCGGTATAGACGAGGACACGGGTGGGGGGAAGGAGGGGGAGGAACGGCACATGCTGCTGTAGCACCGCGGAGGTAGCTGGATGCAGGTAGGCTGACAGAGCCTCTTCACACAGCTGATGCACTGAAAAAGGCCAGGGCTGAAGGAGCTGCTCGACAGCAGCAGGCACAGAATGAAAAGGAAAGTCACGGCTACTCATGGGCGGCCGCTGGTCAGAGGGGCCTCTCTCGTCGGGTGGAGGGTCATCCCGACGGAGGCCCACTCGGCGAGCAGCGGCCGCTAGACGTTTCCCGTCGTCACACCACGAGGAGCTGAGCGTGACTGGGAGCGATGGGCTGCCCTCCCGCGGCTGGCCGCACGGCTGGGCGAGCGCCTCGGCGAGCGCGAGCCAGCCTCTGCGCGGCCCGCACGTGCCTCGGGCTCCTCGGTGACAGGCGTCGCTGGAGCCGCACGCGCTGCATCTGCCCCAGCAGCCACGGTGACCGTGCGGCCAGGCGGCCCAGGCGGCTGTCCATGCACACCTGGAGCTCCTCCCATGCCGTCCACGGGGGCCGTTGCAGACGTCCTGCCCGCCGCCTCGGGAGCCCCAGCAGGCCCCGTCGAGAAGGTCACGTGGGCGGTCGGCACGGGGATGTTCTGACCTCCTCCAGCCGACAACTGCATCTGGTGGATGAGGGACTGGAAACCCTGCAGCTGGGCCATCATCGCCGAGATCTGCGTCTGGTGAGCGGCCAACGCTCCGATCGTGGACATGGGCGCACCAGCTGGGACTGCACCAGCCACACCACCTGCCACACCCACCGGCGTAGTTCCAGCAGCAGGCGTCGCTGCGGGAGCTGGCTCGGCAGCCCTCTTGGCAGCCTCCTTGGCAGCCTCGTTCTCGGACTGGATCAGGGTCTTCAGCTCGGCAATCGTCTTGGTCATGTGCTCGAGGTCGCGCTTGGCCAGGTCGACGTCCATGGTGGCCTGCTTCACCTGTGTCTGCAAGTCCTCCAGCACGTCGTTCGCCTTCTGTAGGCGCTTCTCGGCACGCTCGAAGGCCTCCTCCTGCTTCTGGAGCTGGGCCTTCACTCCTCTCGCACAGAACAACATTGTCAGCGTGGTCGCAAACTCGAGCACAGCATCGTCGTAGTCCTCGCCCGCGTCGTAGCGGTCGAGGATGATAGCATTCAGGGCCTCCAGTCTGGCTGAGGCCTTCTCCTTGTAGTTCTCGACCTCGGCGTCTGTCGCCTGCGGTCCAGGCGGCGTCCTCCACCTGGGATGCCCGCGTGCCACCTGCGGCAGCGCGGGTCGGATGTGCAGGATCTCCTTCGCCGAGCGGTACTCGTCGGAGGCCTTGTCCTCGTCCTCGTCCTTGGCCTTGTCCTTGTCCTTGTCCGTCGGCGGTGCATCTCGCAGTGCGTGAGGCTTACCAGCGGACTTGTCCCTGCCCTTGCCCCTGCCCTTGCCCCGCGGCCCATCCTGCGACGGGGGGGCACTGCCAGAGCGCCTCGGCTGGCGGCGCCACGGCGGGGCATCGGGCTTGGGCGAACCACACTGGCGACAATCCACACGCTCGTGCCAGTTCTTGCAGGAACAGGTAGAACAGGGCCAGGGAGAAGCAGGCGGCGCCCATGTGACGGACAGGGCAGCCTTGGTCATGTCGACGAGTCGTCTTTGTTGGCGACTGTGATGTCGTTGTAGACGTCGTCGCGCCGCCTCCAGGCGGAGGAGGGCGCGAGCACGTGAGCGGTCCGCTCGGGCACGCCTGTGCCACGCAGGCTCAGAGGCCCTGCCTGCGTGACGTTGGCGGCCAGCACGGCCACGGGGCAGCGCTATGGCGGCTGCGAACAAGCGGCGCGTATAGCAGCAGTCCCAGAGGTGAGGGGCGCGGCTACCTGGTAGCCTCCCAGGGCCCCTTGAGCCAAAATGGCTACGGCCCCGAGGGGGGGGGAGGAGGAGGAGGCGGAGGAGGAGGCGGAGGAGGAAGAGGAGGAGGAGGAGGAGGAGGAGGAGGAGTGTCCTGGAGTGTCTGTGACGGCGAATTCGAAGACCGCCTGCCCAAGGCTCGCGGCGCCCAGAGCGAGCGCAGCGCCACGACGACCTCGCCCGCACGGCGCGCGGTCGCCACCCCCGCGGGGCCCGCGCCAGCAGGCTGTCATCAGCCGTCGGTCTCGTCATCGTCCGCTCGGCCAGCCAACGCCGCGGGGCGCCCGACCGGGCGGCGGCCCGCTTTGGGCCACAGGCCACGGCCCAGGCGATCCAGGTAGACCGCGCCCGTGGCCGTCGGAGGCCGTCACCGCGGGTTGGCGGTAGTCGGCGCCACAGGGCATGTTCTTCGGAGGCCATCGCCCAGATGCCGCCCGCCAGGGGGCGCGAAGAAGCCACAGCCCCGGCAGAACCACACGTCCAGCGGCTTGTGCAACACCAGGCGGTGGGTGCAGTGCGCCATTCCACCGCCTATCTGGACCGCGGCCTCGGGCGGCCCGCCCAGCACAGCCAGCTCGGCCGTCACCTGCCGCAGGCCGTGGCAGGGGCTGCGGAACCACTCGGCCTGGCTCGCGCTAGACGCCGAGCATCGGCACGAACTGCAGTTGCGGCCGTCGCTCGCCAGCGCATGGCCCGAGCTGAAAGCAGCCACCAGGCGGGGCGCGGGCGGCGCCACGCGGGCCCGCTGCTCGCGCTTGGGCCGCCGTGGCTGCTCCGCTGCGGCCGCGTCCAGCGTCGACCTCAGCAGCCGCCAGCGCATTTGACCTGCCATAACCTCCACGCTGGCCACGCGCGAACGGTCGGCGGCGCCGACGCGGCACTCGGCCGCAGCGGTATCCGCGAGCACGTCCGCCACCGCATTGCCCCGCAGCACGGCGCCAGGGATGCCGCGGGCGTCTGCCTCCTCGACCGCGGTGGGAGTTGACGTGCTCAACCATTACGGTCGTCCGCGCCCGACGGGCGAAGGCTGCCCCCAGCGCGTGCAGCAAGTCGGCGTCGGGCCCCGATGGGGCCTGATCGAGCCTCTGCCACCAGCCGCTGCAAAACGCCAGGTTGTCGGTGAAGAAGATGACGTCGCCTGCCGACAGCTGGACGGCCAAAAGCAGGGCACGCAGCTCCCCGCGGTGCACCGTCTGCCGCTGCCCCATCAGTGGTCCGAAGGCGGCGCTCGCGATGTCCACTGCTCCGCTTCGCAGGCGGCAGACGCTGATGCCGACGCGACGGAGGCGGGGGTCCTTCGACTCAGGGCCGCCACTGGCGTCGCCGAACAAGGCCAAGGGCGCGCTGACGGCGCCGCGCCCAAGAAGGGGCTCGCCGTCGCAGCCGCCGCCGATGGTGGTCCAATCCTCGACGTCCGCGGGGCCTGGCACCGCCGTCCAGGCGGCGGGGATGACGCCCCGGAGCCAAAAACATTCAGTTGCATCTGCCTCCGCACGGGCGCGAGGCAGACTATGATCACTGCGAGAGTAGTCCGTGCAGCCCGCGTTATGCGAGCAGTCCCAATGCCGATGAAAGGGTGTCTCCACGCAGTGGCCGCAGCGTGGACACATGCCCCCGTCGCCGTCCACGTCGCCGAAGGTCTCGAGGCAGCGCTGCCGCGGCCACGCCCCACCGGCGGCGATGGTTACCATGAGCTCGGCGAGCTGCCCCCCGCGCGGGAAGGAGGCGAGCACCTCCAGCAGGCCCTGTAGGGACGCGAGGTCAGCGCCAAGCGGCAGGCCTTCGCCGCACCAGTGGCCAGCCGCTTGTCCCCACAAGGCCTGGACGACCAAGCCGTCGAAAGCGTCGATCAGAAGGCGAGCCGAGCCGTTTGCCAGCGCCTCGGCCCGCGGAAACACCCAGCGCTCCCGCTGCCCATCGGGCGCCTGCCGCGCCCAACCGCGCGGCCCCACGGGGTGCCAGCCGTGCTCCGGGAGCAGCGTCTGCACAGCAGAGATCGGCCCCCGTATCCAGCGCGTGCGCGCCGACGGTGCCATCTCCCGCAGGCGCGCGTGGATGGCTGTCCACGCTTGCTGAACTCGCCGGCGCCGCACTGGGCACCCCTGCGACATTTGGAACCAAAGGGGCAGTTGTTCCCGAGGAAGCTCGCGAGCCGAATCGCCCTCGCCGAGCCGAAGCTGGAGGGCGGTGGCGAGGCGCTTGCCCTTGCCCGCGGACGCGGCCACGGCGCCGAGCCGCTGGCGAAGATGCAGGCGGGTCTGCCCGAACGCGCCGTGGATCTGATGGCCGTGCGTCGCCGCAGCCTGCGCCGACGCCCGATCCAGCTTCAGACGCGCGAGGTGCCTCTTGCTGGCGCGAGCGAACCCGCGGATCCTGGAGTGGGCGGCCTTGGACTTCGTCCTCCGCCTGATGCGGGCGAGGCGGCCTCCGCGACAGCCTGCCGAGAGGTCGACCCCGAGACGCGGGGCGCAGCGGACGGCGGTGACCACGTGGCCTTGCCGCCGGATGCGCTTCGCCATGCGCACCACGTCCACGTGCCGATTCCCAATGATCACGCTTTTGGGGGACACGACCAAGCCCTCCTGCACGAGGCGATCGCAGGTCAGGATGGCCGTCTTGGGGGGGCCGCGCCGCAGCGCGGCCCGCGTGCCGACGGCGGATTCCGACCGACAAGTCATCGACCCACGGCCGCGGAAGGAGGACAGCAGGCGGCGCCTGCTGAGCGACCTGCTGCATGATGAAGAAGGGGAGGCAACGCGCGAACCGCGCGCCCGACCGCGGGCCCTGGGACCGCGTGGGCCGACGCGCCAAGGAGGCGACGCCCTCGCGGATCAGAATCCGCGGGGCCAAACGCTGCGCAGCTCCAAGGCCAAGATGGCGGGCGGGAAGCCCAGCCGCAGCGCGGCCCGCCCCAGCTTGACCCAGCCCATGGAGTCGTCAAAGGACTTGATGACCAGCAGCGCGTGGGCGTAGGAGAAACCCAGCTCGCTGTGCGCCACCTCGTCGATCGCGCGCACGACGGCCTCTAATGCCGCCGACTTGCCCTGCGCGGCGGCGTCCCAGGCGGGGCGCGCGTCGGCGGCCCACGCCCGCGCGTCGCGCTCGCGCGCCATGCTCCAAATCTGGGCGACCATGCCCAGGAGGCCAATAACCCGCTCGCCGCCGCTCATCTTGCCAAGGAGGCGCCCGACGACGGCGAGCAGCTGCCAAGGCCGCGTGCCGCAGGCCTCGGCGTAAGCGAAAATTCAGAGCAAGCCGCGCAGGGCCTCGCCAGGGAGGCGCTCGACATCCGCGGGGCGCAGCTGGTCCACGCCACGACCGGCTTGAGGGCGCATGCGACGAAGAGCTTTCTTCAGCGTGCCGAGGTCGAGCGGGTGAACGAAGTGGCCATCGTGGCGGTGCTCCTCGACGGTGGCCTCCGGCGCGTGCTTGAGGGACCGAAAGAGCACCGTGCTGGAGCCGTCCTGGACGATCCAGCGCTGGAAATCACGGAGTGAAGCACGCGCGGCTCGGCTGCGAGCTCGCCGCACAGCAATCGAAGCCGTGGCCACCAGCTGTTCAAGCGCCTCCTGGGGCGCCCCAGGCACCAGGTGCAGCCGGCGGCGAAGTTGCTTCCAGTCTAGAACCTCGCCGCTCGAACTGGCGCCGCGAGCGTCGCGAACTACGAGCGCAGCGCGCGCCCTCCTCGGCGCCGCACGGCCGAGTTCCTGGCACGCGAAAGCGAGCCTGGCCGAGTCCCTCCTGACAGCCTCCGACGGCTTCTCGATATTGCGGAACTTGGCGAGCCGCCGGGTGTCCGTGTGAACCTGGGCCCACCAATTGTCAGCAGCCCCGTGCACCGACGATGTGACAGCCGACTCCTTCTGCTCAACAGCCAGCTCGACGAGATGAGGCCCCTGTGCCCGCGCGACGTCAGACCTCGAAGGCCTCCTCAACGCGCGTGACCCACCTTGCGTAAAGGCCGCTCACCTCCGCGATGCGCTGGCCGCCCATGTGGAACGCGGCCGACTCCGCGATCGCGGGCCAGGGCGTCGGGAACGGCGCGAAGTCCGCAGAGGTCCTCGCCCACGTGCTGGGAGCGACTGCAAACGGGAAGCCGCAGCCTGTACTACGCAGCGGCGACGTCGGCGTCGAAGCTGGGGCCGACGCGGGGGCAGCACACGATGGTGCTGGCGTCGATGCGAACGCGCCAGGTCGGTCGGAGCGGGGGGCAAAAGTCACGCCAGCAGATGTCGCTGCCAGGGGCGCCCACTCCGACCTGGGCCCCCCCCGCGGGAGGGGACCAGCGCAAGGTCCAGCTTTCGCTTCAACCTCGCAGGGTACCTCCAAATCGCCGCCGCCATCCCGCGCAAGGTCGACGCTGCAAGCGTCATCAACGAATTCGAACGGGTCCCCCTTCAGGGTCCTCGAGGGAGGCAGGCCTGGCTGCTCCGGCAAGGCCGCCAGCCGCTCCTGGAGCCTCGCCGAGAGCCGCCTGGGGGGCCGCCCTGCGTGACGGAGATCCCTGTGGAGATTTTGGCCTGGATCGCCGCGGCCGTCTCCTGGCCGCGCCCGGAGGCCGTTCCAGCAGCTTCGGCAACGGCCTCAGCGGCTCCAGCTGCAGGCCCCAACAGCTGCCCCCCGCGCCCAGTGCAGCGGGCCCCGGAGGAGGAGGAGGAGGAGGAGGAGGAGGAGGAGGAGGAGGACGAGGACGAGGACGAGGACGAGGACGACGGACGAGGACGAGGACGAGGCCGAGGACGAGGCGAGGACGAGGACGAGGAGAAGGAGGAGGAAGAGGGAGGAGGAGGAGGAGGAGGAGGAGGAGGAGGACGAGGAGGGAGAGGAGGAGGAGGAGAGAGGAGGAGGAGGAGGAGGAGGAGGAGGAGGAGGAGGAGGAGGAGGAGGGAGGAGGGGATGGGGGAGGGGGAAGGAGGAGGAGGAGAGGAGGAGGAGGAGGAGGAGGAGGAGGAGGAGGAGGAGGAGGAGGAGGGGAAAGGAGAAAAGGAGGGAGGAGGAGGAGGAGGAGGAGGAGGTGGAGGAGGAGGAGGAAAAGGAGGAGGAGGAGGGAGGAGGAGAAACGTGGACAAGGATGATGATGATGATGATGATGATGATGATGATGATGATGATGATGATGATGATGATGATGATGATGATGATGATGATGATGATGATGATGATGATGATGATGATGATGATGATGATGATGATGATGATGATGATGATGATGATGATGATGATGATGCTGATGAGATGATGATGCTGATGATGCATGATGATGAGATGCTGAGATGCTGATGATGAATGATGATGATGATGATGATGATGATGATGATGATGATGATGATGATGATGATGATGATGATGATGATGATGATGATGATGATGATGATGATGATGATGATGATGATGATGATGATGGTGATGGTGTTGGTGTTGGTGATGGTGATGGTGATGGTGATGGTGATGGTGATGGTGATGGTGATGGTGATGATGATGATGAGGAGGAGGAGGAGGAGAACGAGGAGAACGAGGAGAACGAGGAGCACGAGGAGCACGAGGAGCACGAGGACGAGGACGAGGACGAGGACGAGGACGAGGACGAGGACGAGGACGAGGAGGAGGAGGAAGAGGAGGAGGAGGAAGAGGAGGAGGAGGAGGAGGAGGAAGAAGAGGAAGAAGAAGAAGAAGAAGCAGAAGAAGCAGAAGCATAAGAAGAATAAGCAGAAGCAGAAGCAGAAGCAAAAGCAGAATAATAATAAGAAGAATAATAAGAATAATAATAATGAGAAGAAGTAGACGAAGAAGAATAATACGAAGAATAAGAATAATACTAATAAGAATAATAATAAGACAAATAAGAATAATAATAAGAAGAAGAAGAAGAAACAGAAGGAGGAGGAGGAGGAGGAGGAGGAGCAGGAGGGGAGGAGGACGAGGAGGACGAGGAGGACGAGGAGGAGGAGGACGAGGAGGAGAGGAGGACGAGGAGGAGGAGGGAGGAGAGGAGGAGGAGGGAGGAGGGAGGAGGGAGGAGGGAGGAGGGAGGAGGAGGAGGGAGGAGGGAGGAGGGAGGAGGGAGCAGGAGGGGGAGGAGGACGAGGAGGACGAGGAGGACGAGGAGGACGAGGAGGACGAGGAGGACGAGGAGGACGAGGAGACGAGGAGACGAGGAGGACGAGAGACGAGGAGGACGAGAGGAGGACGAGGAGGACAGGAGGAGGAGGAGGAGGAGGAGGAGGAGGGAGGAGGAGGAGGAGGAGAGGAGGAGGAGGAGGAGGGAGGAGGGAGGAGGAGGAGGAGGAGGAGGAAATGAAAAGGAGGAGGGAGGAGGAGGGAGCGGGGAGGAAGAGGAGGAGGAGGAGGAGGAGGAGGCAGGAGGGAGGAGGGAGGAGGGAGGAGGGAGGAGGGGGGAGGGGGGAGGGAGGAGGAGGAGGAGGAGGGAGAGGAGGGAGGGAGGAGGAGGGAGGAGGGAGGAGGGGAGGAGGGAGGAGGGGAGGGGGAGAGGGAGGAGGAGGAGGGAGGAGGGAGGAGGGAGGAGGGAGGAGGGAGGAGCGAGGAGCGAGGAGGGAGGAGGGAGGAGGGAGGAGAAATCTGCCTGTAATTGCACACGCCCGATGTTATGCATAACATAGATATCTCAACATATAGCTTCCACCACATAGCTTGCACATCCAGAGTGCACGAACTCACAATTTGGCCCACACCGGCAACAAATGTTCAGTACTGTTTTGTTCTAGTGGGCCCTCGCGGAAACACGTTGGGGTCGCTTGTGGCCTACCGATATTTGGGGCCCTGGGGGCAATCCTAGAGGCATCTCTGTCCAGTCTAATCGTTTTGGGGCCACTTGTATGCAATTTGGGATGGTGCGTGCCCTTCTCTCAAGTAGTATGCCAGGACCCTGGGGCGGGAGACGAGAGGGCCACATCCTTTCATCTCACACGCCATGTCACCCTCGGCAAGCGCGGGTCGGCGGACTACTTCTTGGCTGCGGTCAGTGCTCGACCTCCGAAGTGGGGAATGATTGTTACGTGCATGCAGATATCTCAGATGGTCGTTGGTGTGTTGGTCATCACGTTTCATCTGAGATCTCTGACCACTCGGGAGGTGCAGTATTGCGATGGGCATCTCCCGAATCTCACCGCGGGGCTTGCAATGTACTCATCATACTTCATGCTGTTTTTGGATTTCTTCGTTCGGAGGTTCTGCCTCAAGAGGCAGCCTCCCACGCAGAACCCGAAGAAACTAGACTAAGTTGCTGGGCCATCTGTTCTGCGCAAAGTTGCAGCGCAGGGGGCACGCTACTGCACCAGCAGGTAAGTTTTCCATATACCATGTCCTTCTCTCACTGACCGTGGACCTCGCCCACACTTATCTAGCACTAACACTAGCACTGACACCTACGCTACCGTACACATCAGCACCGTGCATGACATTGCAGACGCACCACAGCACCCTACACTTGGTGCGTGAATGTGTGTTTAGTTAGTCCGTTTGGTGAGTCCGTGTGGTTCGTCCGTTGTTTTAGCCGTGTGTGTGTGCTTAGAGAGCGCGTGTGTGTTCAGTGTGTGTATGTGCTTGTTTCTGCGTGTCTGCATGTAGTATGCGTGCGTATGTGTGTTTGCGTGTGCGTGCGTTCGTGTGAGCGATCGTGTTTGTGTGTGACTGTGAGTTGGTATGTGTGCCCATGTGCGTTGGTGTTGATGTGTGGATGTGTTTGTTTATATGTGGGCTTGCGTGTGTCTGTGCGTGTGTGTGTGTGTGCGTGGAGTTGTGTGTGCGTGTGTGTGTGTGTTTTATGTGTATGTGTGCGTGCGTGTTCGCGCGTGTTTGTTTGTGTGTGTGTGGTTATTGGTTTCAGTGTGTGCGTTCGCTTCGTTGTGTATGCGTGTATTTGTGCAAAGGACGTTGGCGTCCGCCTTCGCAAAAACGTGTGTGGTGTGTGTGGGTGTGTGTGTGTGTTCGTGTCTGTGTGTGTGCGCGTGTGTGTGTGTGTGCGCGTGTGTATAATTGTGCGTGCGCGCGTGATTATATGTGATTGGTTTGAGGCAGTCGTGTGTTTTGTTGGTGTGTGTGTGCGTGCTTGCGTGTGTGTGGGTGTGTTTGTGTAATTATGCGAATGTATGTGAGTGTTGCTGTGCGCGTTTGGATGTGTGTGTACGTGTTTATTTGTGTGTGCGTGTTTTTGTTTGTGGGTGTGCGCTTATGTGAGGCTGTGAGGCTGTGTTGGGGTGCGTGTCTGTTTACAAGTTCATTGTGTGCGCGTGTGTGTGATTGTGTGTTTGTATGTGCTCGTGTGTGCGTCAGTTCTGTGTGTGCATGTGTTCGTGTGTGCGCGTGTGATTGTACGTCTTCGTGTGTTTGTGCGTGTTTGTGTGTGTTATTGCGCGCGTGCGCGATGATGTGTGCTTGGTAAAATGTGTGTTTGTTGCTTGTGTGCTTGCTTTAATCAGTAGTTGTTGTCTCCTCATGGCAGTAGAACAGTGGTTGTGTGAGTAGTTCTTTGTCTGTGTGTGTTTGTATGTGTGTCTGTTATTTTGTGTGGGTGTTGTACTTTGCTTCTCCGACGGCCTGCGTCGCGTCGGTGTGCGCGTGACCGGGATGCCAAAGTATGTGTGTATATGTTTGTGTGTGCGCGTCGCACTTGCAATAAGGCTAAGACTGCAGTGCTTTGCAATCGCACCGCAGTATCCTACACTTAGTGCGTAACTGTGTTCAGTCCGTGCGTTTCGACCCTGTGCTTAGTCGTGCTGTTTGTCGTGTGTTCAATGTGTGCGTATGCTACCCTTGTCTGTGCGTGCACGTGTTGCGCTGGTGTGGTCTGCGTGCGGGGATTTGCGAGTATGTCATTGTGCATGTGTTCCCCAAGCAGTGCTTGCACTTGGGACCAGGATGGGTCCAGCAAGGTGTCGCTACCGTGTCGCCCGTTGCTCATCGTTGCCGCCTCGTGCGCCGGGTGTGTCTGCCTCGTTGTCGCCTTGGCACGCCACGCTGCCGCCCGTGACCGCCCCGCTGCCGCCACGCTGCCGCCCCGTGCGCTCGGCGGGTCCAGCGAGGCTTCGCCACGCTGCCGCCCGCTGCCGCTCCGCCGCCGCCCCCTCGCGCTGGGTGGACCTGGCGAGACTTCGCCACGTTGCTTCCCATGGTCGCCGCGTTGCCGCGTGCGCCGGGTGGGTCCGGCGAGATTTTGCCACGTTGCCGCTCGTTGCCGCCTCGCTGCCGCATCGTGCACTGGGTGTGTCCAGCGAGATTTCGCCACGTGTGCCCGTTGCCGTCTCGTTGCCGCCTCGTGCTCTGGGTGGGTCTGGCGAGTCGTCGCTGCGTTGCCGCTTCGTTGCCGCCTCTAGCTTGCACCACGTATACTGCACCACAGCTTACATGACAAAGCTTGCACCACATAATGCAGACACATCCAGTGCAATCATTTACTGTTCGGGGTCCACGCTGGCCAAGATTGTCTTTTGAGGAATTGGATGGGTCTGGCAAGTTTTC